GTGCTAGTACAGCTATCGACGGCCCAATTTCTCTCACAAGGCTTTCTTTAACCCGTTGTTTGGTTTTCAGGTACTTTCTAAAGGTGCCGCACGCTATGGTCGGTTTCGATCAATTCCGATAACACCAGGAAATCTCCTTCTTGACAAATCGTACATGGTGAGATTCAAACCAGAGTGTTATATATATATATATATATACATATATATATATTCAGTTTTATGGAGATGAGTTTGTGACCCTGGGTTTCACGCTTTTGCGATCATCAGACAAAATCCAGCCCAAGGTCACAAACTCATATCCATACAACTGAATATTTGGCTTTATCACGGATATTGAGCGCTTTCCACTAAGTGCTGCACATACAATATATATATAAATATATATATATATATATATATATATATATATATATATATATAATGAAAAAACAGACCACTTTAAGGTAACATTACAATAATTTATTTCACTAAAATCCTTTTTAAAGGACTCCGGATCATCAGGTAACACTTCCAACAACGAAATGGTGAAATAAATTATTGTAATGGTACCTTAAAGTGGTCTGTTTTTTCATTAAATATTAGCTCTGTATTCACATTGAGCTCTCAGGATTTCATCCTCCTTGGAATTACCCATTCGGTTTACCAAGTTCTTCGTAACTTATATATATATATTAGATTCGATTAGAAAAGAGAAGAAAACAATTGTACGAACACAAGAAAAATTAAATAAAAAGCTTAATCGCAGTAGCTTATAAGTCGTCTATATATATATATATGTGTGTGTGTGTGTTTGTGTGTGTGTGTCTGTGTTTGTGTGTGTGTAAAAATATAGAGAAAATAGGAAAGAACTCGCTAGGTAAATAATGTAGCGTTGGAATCATATTTTTAAATAAATAATATATATATATATATATATATATATATATATATATATATATATATATATATATATGACAAACTGGAAAGGTTTATTTGTGACGCGTTTCATCCGTTAGTATTTCATCGGATTGGGCTTTCATGACGTTGCTACGTCTACACATGCGCACGAAACCAGAGACGCAGGTAGTTCAAATCTTTGGAAAGAATATTTTTGAAAGAATTTTTTCAATTTAGCCGAAATCATCTGTATTCTTTTTCTTTATCTCACCACCATCTTTGTTTCTGATTACCCCCGACTATATATATATATATATATATATATATATATATATATATATATATATATATATATATAAGAAAGAACAGTCAGATTTATAATCTACAGTTCTTTAGCATTTCTTTTAAAACCATTGCTCGATACACGGTAGAGCATAACATTATAATATTATTATTTAAAAATATGTATTCATCGCAGAATTTATCATATTTCGAACTATAAACTAAACTTTAAATTAAAGTTAAAAATAAAGTTTTTGTTCCATTCCCAAGCAATGTTGAATAACTAACGAAAAAATTGATCATTCAGTTTAGTTTTTAGTTCCGAAGCATGGTAATTTCTGTGTCGCGATGAATACATATATTTTGAATAATAATAATAATATATATATATATATATATATATATATATATATATATATATAAAATTAATTATCTATTATAAAAGATTTAAGACAGCTAACCTTATCCTCAAAAATAACAACACCAACTAAGTCAAAATTACAAAGAACGAACATTATCTAAGAGTTCAAATGCCCCTTAAGGAGCTGAAAAATTGAATTATCCTTGATAATGGCTAAAGGTATAGCTGAAAGCGCTCGGAAATATAAAACATTTGGACAGTTATTACACACCCTTTGTCCAGAAAAGAAAGCTCTTGTTAGAACACAAGAAAAATTAAATAAAAAAGCTTAACTGTAGTACCTTGTCTGTCGTTTTTAATGCATATATATATATATATACCCGTTATCCACAGACAGACTGTTTCGCTGTATCACAGATCATCAGTGTAGCTAGACATCCGAAACCCGGCTGATTTTTTTCTTTTTTATAGATACAAGTATTTAAGTAAATGCTCTGTTTATAATAAACAGTATTAAATAACATTTACCGGCCTGAATGTCCGAGAAATTTTCATAGAAAATATTCGTCCTTTGACAGGATTCGAACCTGCATCCTATACGGAACCGTCACTTACGCTGCCGTGTCTTACCGATCGGCCACAAAGGAGCATTCGGTAGACAAGGTCGAATTTACTGCTTATAAATAAGAACGTTAAACATAAAAATGTCTTTAATAAAAATAAATTGTCGGACTTTGTCCATTTCTTAATATATGACATCATTTGTTTACATTTGATACGCCAGAGCAGCTATGAATGTACGAGATTCATGGAAGATTGAAGTTTATAAGCAGTAAATGTTATTTAATACTGTTTATTATAAACAGAGCATTTACTTAAATACTTGTATCTATAAAAAAGAACGTTAAACATAAAAATGTCTTTAATATATATATATATATATATATATATATATATACAGAGAGAGAGAGAGAAAGAGAGAGAGAGAGGGGGAGAGAGGGAGAGAGAGAGAAAGAGAGAGATAGAGTGCGGCAGAAAGACCTCCCACATTTGAAAGGTTGACAAAAAGACCAAGGTAACTGCCATTAAAGAATTATTTCAATGTTGTTTACACAAATGGCTACAGTTTTTATTCACTAAGTTTTAAAGATAACTTCTTCCAAATATATATTCGCCATAAATTGTTGTAGACGATTATTAAATTTATCCCTCACCCGGTAGTTCGAACACTTTGAGGTCTTCTAAGTGGCTTTCTTTTAAGCTGAACCCGTGGTCCTGAAATTTTCTACCCTTAGCGGCATCGATTATTCTCCCCAGGACAGCATCATTTCAACGTAACAAGAAAAGAGCGCGAAAAGCTCCCTGTTTTGTAATTACAGATTCTCGACTCTCAAAACCGTTTCAATAGCCAACGCATTGGTATTCATTGGTTCAAGCCATGATGTTATAAGAAAGAAAACAGGAAGACATTAGCGAGATGGAGACATCATTGCTACATGAAATAACCACAAAATTCTTTTTAAAATCTTGATGTTTGAAGACAGTTATTAAGCTTTTCAATTTTTCATTACACAATATAGTTTTCACTTAATAACAATATTACCTAACGTGATCAGAGTAGATTTGAAACTTTATAAATTATTATAATTAAAAATTTAAAAAATATTAAAAATTCATCATTCAACGAAATTTTTATATGTCCTTAATATATCTTGATAATAAAAGCAATTAAAAGCTTTTCTAATTAAATAATGTCATAGTTTTATTGCATTTTTTATTTTACGATTCAGAGCAGATTTTCGGGAAATGTGTAACTGTTTGAAAAAGAAATATTACGATTTACATTCTTCAAGGAATCCTGCTTTTAACTATTAAATAACATTTCGCGGTCAAAATTCAATTTCCTGAAATTTTTTAAAATTAAGCAAGTGGGGGAGAGTAATAGATGTAAAAAAATATTTTTACCAATATTTCTTAAAAAAGATTAAAAATAATTTAATTCATTTGTGAATAAGTCCTGAAAGTTTCATTAAAATCCGACAATTATTTGATTTTTGGAAGAATTTCCAAATGAATGCGTTTTAATCCGAAAAAAAAAAAAAAAAACGCTAAAAAAACCTTGGGCACAAAGCTGACGCAAAAATATGACCGAGATGTCGAAGATTAGGAAGGATTAAAAAAATTAATAAAATAATAAAAAAATAGTTTCGTTTTTTCTCTTAAAAATATCATAAATATTTTGAAGATAAAACTTTGGTTTTATCAAGTTTGGGGCCTTTTTGATCATTGTATGTTCTTTTTTCGCGAAGAAGTTGAGGTACCTATTTAAATATGAAATTTGTTAATAAATTCAGTAGATTTACTTTACCATGAAGACTGTTGTATCTACTAAATTTGAAGTCAGAAGTTATTTTTTAATTATCAACTATTGTTGACCTATATTTGATTATAAAAAAATTTACTCGCTTTTAATCGCGTTAAACTCTAGTAAATTACTGGACTAAGGTCAGAAAATTACAGAACTAAATTATTTTTGGTTTATGTTCTTAAATAGTAAGCACTTTGATCATACAAATTTACGCGTCTTTAAACGCGTTAAACTCAAGCGAAATACCGGACAACGAATTTTATTAGGCGTTAGCAATCTACTGATATTATTAATTTTATTTTTACAAAAAAAAAAAAAAAATCAAATATACGACCTAAATTGTCAGATGGTCAAAAGGAGGTTGATAAACGTCGAGAGTATTTTTTGTCGAAATCTGACAATAAAAATAGAGTTGCGGATACATATTTCTCAAGGCAAAATCAGACAGCTGAGTTCAAATTCCAGCCGTGTTCGCTACATTCACGTATGCACAAATGCCCTTCGGAAATATTATGAGAATATCATCTTCCGGCTATATGTTAAATAGTAGGACTTGTATCTGGAAAAATCACAATTCTTCTCAAAAATATGTTATTCACTCGCAAAAATTACAATTCAAAATATGTTTTAGCGTTAAATAAACCACAAAGGATCGATAAAACGTAATAAATAAATAAATGCTCAATGCTAATTCCAAGTATCGCTTGAAATTTTTGATATTATACATTAAGTCCTACCAGCCATCTCTTTCTATGCCAGAATGAGTTAGTAGTTGTCTTAAATGTTTAAGCATTGTATTTTTTTCTTGCATAGAGCATTTGTCTTGAGTCTAATATTTTCTAGTTCCTGTTCGAATTTTTACCCTAGATCTTTCTTTGATTAGAGAGGGTACTGGTAAATCGATTAAGTATTTAAAATTTTTATTTTTTTGGTAATATATATTTTTATCTTTTTCTTACGGTGATTTATGAATTGCTTATTTTTTTTTTTAATGAAGTGTCTTTTAATATATCCCCTTTTATTATACTAATATTTGTTACATGTAATTTTTATAAGTATTTTTTATTCCAATTTACGTGCACTAATACCTTTTCTAATCAGTATCTTCTTCCTATGCTCGCAGGTATACGATTTCTGTCAGTTACTGAAAAAAAGAAAGAACATTTCTTCCTTTTTCGTTTCATCTCGTTCTATTTCACGGAAATATACTACAACAGTGTGACATTCCATATTGTGTAGTTTACTCATATTAAGATGAATAGTCCTTAAATAACCTTATGGGCTATCATCAAATAAAGCTTCTGATAATTATTTTTTTGCAAACGGATCTGAAACGTCTTTGACAAGATGTGACATAAGGGGTTGCTACACAAACTGCCCGGCGATAGCATCTCTGGTAGAGTCTTGCCAATTATCAAGTTCTTCTTATCAGGTAGGTTCGTGAAGGTCGTTGTTATCTGAAGCCCAAGATTTCAAGGATCTATCTATCTATCTATCTATCTATCTATCTATCTATCTATCTATCACAGTCTGTTCTTTCTCTCTCTCTATTTATCTATCACAGTCTGTTCCTTCTCTATCTATCTATCTATCTATCTATCTATCTATCTATCTATCTATCTATCTATCTATCACAGTCTGTTCCTTGTCTCTCTATCTATCTATCACAGTCTGTTCATTCTCTCTCTCTATTTATCTATCTATCACAATTTGTCCCTTCTCTCTCTATCTATCTATCACAGTATGTTCCTTATCTATCTATCTATCTATCTATCTATCTATCTATCTATCTATCTATCAGTCTGTTCCTTCTCTCTCTCTCTCTCTCTCTCTCTCTCTCTCTCTCTCTCTATCTATCTATCTATCTATCTATCTATCTATCACAGTGTGTTCCTTTTCCCTCCCTCCCTCTCTCTCTCTCTCTATCTATCTAACTCACACAGAATCAGTGGGGCACTCGATAATAAATTCATCGGGAGAGCGACCGCCTTTGGTATCTGAAAGGTCATTGACAAGGTGTGGCATAGGGGATTGCTACGCAAAGTTTCCAGTTATGGCATCGCCGGTCGAGTCTTTTCATTTACCAAGTCCTTCCTACCAGGTAGGTCTATGAAGACCGTTGTTATTGGCCAGTCATCTGAAACCCATGAGATCAATACAGGCTATAATTACTGCCATAATGAATTCAATGTAGACATTCTTCAAGGTTCTCTCCTCGGTCCTACCCTCTTCCTGCTTCATATTAACGAGCTACCTAAGAATATGCTCAGCTCATTAGTAAATATATATGCAGACGATACCACAGTTTATGGGTGCACCACCACAAAAAAAAAAAAAAAAAAAAATTTAGACAACCAGAGCCTCTGACCTAATTCTTACAGCTCAATGCACGAGGAACTAGCAGGTAACATTCACTACCTCCAAAAGTAAGATAGTAACATTTCGCCATCTTTGAGTATTCTTTAGTCATGAGTGAATGTGTTGTAATGAATAGTCGGTCGGATTAGGAGATCAGGGAGCCGAATTCGAATTCCAGTCGAGATCGTGGCATTCACTTACGCGCAAATAATCTTCAAAAAGGTATGTATCCATCTCCTCTCCCCAGCTATAGGTTAAATAGTAGGATTTGTATCTGAAAAAAATCATTGTTGTCCCCCAAAATTTGTTGATGCAATATTCATTCGCAAAAAAAAAGTAAAAAAAGAGGTATTATTCTTATAACCCGAAAGATGTTTGAACTTTAAATAACCCACTAAGGGTTGATAAGCCGTAAAAAATAAATAAATAAAGAATCAGTCAAATCAACAAACTCCAGTCAGGATGAACGGTTGTACGAAAAGAAAGTTTGATAATAATAATAATAATAATAATAATAATAATAATAATGGGAAGAAGAAGATGATGGTGAATAGGATGGAGAAGTAGAAAAGGAAGAAGATGAGGATAAAGAAGAAGGAAAAGGCAGAGGGGAATAATAATAATAATAATAATAATAATAATAATAATAATAATAATCACCGTGATCTAGAACAACCGGCGGGATATAGCCATATCTCATAGCCGGAAGTGTTCTTTATCCTTAGTAGTAGACCTTGCTACTAATTCTGTGTTAGAAAAAAAAAAACAAACAAAAAAAAACAAAAAACAAACACTGGCAATAAAACTGTACCACTGCAGAAAAGTAGAATAAATTCAGTGAAGCTGAAGGAAGTTAACAACAACAACAACAACAATAATAATAATAATAATAATAATAATAATTACTCAGCCTGCTAATGTGGGTAGCTAATCCCTGTTGCAGACGTCTGTTCAGACACATTTGTGTTTTCTCAACACCCACAAGGTTAACCTGTGGCTTAGACGGTAATTATGCCGTTCGTCGATGTGCGGGTAGTGTCATGCGTATATGCGCGGGCAGTGGAATCAGCGATCCGAGTTCAATTTCTGGGTTGGTCTGTTGTGTTCACTTTCGCAAAAAAAGCCCATTGAAAAGGCATAAATCCGTCTCTTCTCACTCTTTCTAGCTTTGGGTTAAATAGCAAGGTAATTTTGACTCTCTAGTCTGGAGTGGCAACCAGTCTAAGAGAAGGAAAACTCAATTCAACAACAGTTAATGATGTGCGGGTAGTGTATCGGATGTCGACGCGGAAAGTAGAATCGGGCAAGTGTGCTGCATCCATTTTCTACTAATGCCTTTTGGAGAGGCATAAATCGGTCTCTTCTCTTTGGAGTTATGGGTTAAGTAGCAGGCATATTTGGCTCTCTCGGCTTGAATGGCAACCAGTCTAAGAGAAGGAAAATTCTGAATTCAAAACTGTGGAGAAGGCAACGGGCGCCTACTTCACTATCTCTCCTAAGAATGCTTGGCAATTCACAGATAGTAAAGAGAAAAGAATCTGTGGAGAGCCATAATCGCCTTCGTCCTGAAGGGAGATTGTGTTTGCAAACTCACACACACACACACACACAAGTAGCTGAGAGGAACTTAGTGACATTTTCTAGGAGAGAGCATATAATCTAGCAACAACGACAGGTGAACACGATCAGTATACTCAATCCCCCGATCACTGCCAGCACAACCGAATTTTCATCTACTGAATTTCACTACTTTTTTCAGATACGTCCAACGGTACCATATGCTATTGGTGGGGTCTCTCTTTCTGGGCCGATATTATAAACAACTCCTTGATAAATGATCCGAACCTGGGCTTAATGTTCAGAACGCTACTGGGCTAATCAGTCCGCCGCCCGCGCAACCAGACTTCGGATTAAACGTGCTGAAAACACGGGTTGTTTGATCACGGAAGTTAAATAAGCAGCATCGAACCCGGTTAGTATTTAAATGGAGGACTGCTGTAAGCAACCTCAGACAATACCAGGTTGCTATCTCGGTCCCAACCTTTCACTATCGAAACGGTTAGATGGAGTCATCTCTTCTACGCCAACAGCTTCTTTTCTCGCACTTCCCGACAGTGGAACTGCTTTCATCTTACTTGCTTCCCTGATAGCTATAATCTTCAAATATTCAAATGTAATGTCAATCGACATCTTCGGATGCCTTGATCTTGATCCCCGCTTTTTTGTTTATCCTTTCTTCAAACACCCCCCCTCTTTACTCTTGCTCTCACTCTCCGTAATCCCTTGCGTGCTAGTGGCACTCTTGCCTTTCTTGGGGTGAGATACTTAAAGAAATCCGAAATATGTTTCGACTACCTGCAAAAGGTTGTGTTGTATCCTTAAAGAGGTAACAAACAAAGGTGGTACTCGAGTGAAAGAACAACAGCACGCGATTAGATGAAAGAAAGAGAGGTTCATTGTAAAAGAGAATACACTACTGAAAGACAGGGAATAGGGTTACAGGCTAGTAATTCCCGAAGCAAGGTTATTTACCTCACTTACTTGCAAGGCAGGATGTGGCACAAGGCCGTTATTAAATGCGGGGTTAAAACCGAGCCCGTGGCAAAAATTCTCCGTAGACCCCGTAAAAAACGAGGTCGGGTAGCTGTCTACCACCCCAGACGAGACTCTGCCCTTCGGCATAGCCTCGTCTTGGTTCCTCTCTGCCCGAAGGCAAAAAGTTCGACTAGCTTAGCTGGAGACGAATTCCCAACTAATTCCCGAAGCAAGCCCCCAGGTTTATCCTGTGCTCACTATATATAGCTACTGATATAGTCAGTCTCCATAGGCAATAGGGAGTGTGAAACATTCCATTACGACAGGTTGGTAAGCCGTAAAAAACAAAAACAACAAAAAGTAAATCAATTAATTACTGCCGCGCAAGCATCCACGTTTACATGAAAAAAAAAACTGTTCGCACTGAAGAAATGACAACATTATATCTGTCGGTGGATTTTACAAGTATTCTCAAAGAGTAACAATAGTTTCCATTCAAATAAGGCTGTGTCCGTGTGCGAATTTATTAATGAATGTCTCCAACCCTAGTCAGAACCTCCAGGCCTTCTGACCATAGTTTTACACATTATCGCTAAGTTCAACCATCTTCAGTACACCTTCGTTACTGCTAATGTTAAAAAGCAAGGAGTGTTTGCCATAAAAATGAAACTACGCAAGGTGACGGCAGTTCGCAACAAAAGACGGAAAATCGGCTGGGGTTATTAGGTGCACTTTATTACATCACGCATATCTTGGTTTAGTTTGTACATCTGCTATTCGGGTTGCGGGGGATGGGTACTCGAACTAGATCCGGGTATCCTCACCACCCATCTTGACCGAGTACCGGTTTTGATGGCTCCTCTGAACTGACTGACATCAACACTAAAAGCATACCCGTGAAGCCACACACGCACACACGCACGCGCACGTGCGCGTGTGCGTGCATTTATATAGGCGTATATATGTTTGTGGAAAGAAAGTGCATGCATTTATCGTTGTGTATGTGTACATATATATTTGCATGTGTATACAGACATACACATATCTATATATTATACATGTGTGTGTGTGTGTGTGTGTAGATATAATATATACATATGTCGGTAAAATCAATTCTCTCAAACTATATGTATTATCTACTATGGCATTGTATAAGACTAATACATGATACATGTTTATTACAATCACACTCACACACGCGCGTATACAGAAATATGTATGTATGTATGTATTTATGCATGTATATCTCTCTATATATATGCATGTAAACACGTGTATACGTGGGTATATGTTTTTATAAAGAGGGTATGCACATCCATGTACGTATATTTGCATGTGCATATAAAATTATATATATATATATATATATATATATATATATATATATATATATATATATATATATATATATAGAGAGAGAGAGAGAGAGAGAGAGAGAAAGAGGTGGGAAAATCAGTTTTCTCTATATGCACTAGTTACTTTGGCTTTATACAAGAGCAATATAAACTTAGTAAACACACGCACATACACAATCACGCGCATATGCACAAATATATATATATATATATATATATATGCACACACACACACATATATATACACACACAATACACACAAATATATATATATATATATATATATATATATATATATATATATATATATCTACACACACAACACACACACACACACACACACACATATACACACACACATATATATATATACAAAAATATATAAATATATATATATATATATATATATATATATATATATATATATATATATCTACACACACACACACATATATATATATATATATATATATATATATATATATATATATATATGATATTATGCTGAAAAGATAAAAGAGGGAACTCTTCACCGCCACAAAAATTTGATTTCGGTCAGATTTTAATAAATGGCGGAGGTCGTTAACTTCTCTCGCTTCATTCTCTTTCATTCACTCCTTCACTCATTCATTCACTCACTCTTTCTAAGTATATTTGTTTAATTAAGCTTAAAGCAGCTTATACAA